CCACTCCACTCCACTCCACTCCACTCCACTCCACTCCACTCCACTCCACTCCACTCCACTCCACTCCACTCCACTCCACTCCACTCCACTCCACTCCACTCACTCAACTCACTCAACTCAACTCAACTCAACTCAACTCAACTCAACTCAACTCAAACTCAACTCAACTCACTCACTCACTCACTCACTCACTCACTCACTCACTCACTCACTCGCTCGCTCACTCGCTCACTCGCTCACTCGCTCACTCGCTCACTTACTCACTTACTCACTTACTCACTCTTCTCCTATCTCACTCTTTTTTTTTTTTAATTCTCTCTCTCTCTCTCTCTCTCTCTCTCTCTCTCTCTCTCCTCTCTGAGAGAGTTGCACAAGCCTTGCATTCTCTTTGTAGCGCTCAAGGTGCAAAATCCATCCAGAGAGTCACTGCGTCGCCTTGCCAGGAGCGGTGCTGTCGGCAGGAGCGGCTTAGGTGGCTCTCAGGGCCCAACGGTCTTCGTGGGGAATAGCCAACCATTTCGCACAAGCCATCCCGACCACCCCAACCACTCTCCGGTTTCAAGGATAGGGTGATATAGAGCCTTTCCGCGCGGTGGCTTTTGACAATTTCCCACCGCAGCTACCAGGGGACTTGACATTCTACGGATCGCTGCCGAGTCAACATTGTATTCTTGGGGGTAGTTTCAGAGGAGAGGCGGGCATACAGAGGACGCTTTCCAGTCTGTCGCACGCATCTCTATTGCTTGAACAAAGGATAAGAAGCGTTTGGATTCTTAGGAGGGCCGCGGCTGTAGCGCCCCTGGCGAGCCCTACGACTGCTCTGGGACACAGAGGGACTGGCTTGCATGGTCCAAGGGCCAGAAGCTCTGGTGCTGCGAGGTGCATCAAAGAGGCCAGGAGTTTGTTTTCCCAGGCTATCAGGCAGTGTGAGAGCGAGTTACCCACACCTCCCCAGCCTGGCTACTCTTTCGCCTGGCATGAAAGTTGGAACACCAGCTCCTTGAATTGAGTTATTGTTCGGCTTGTGGCTCAACTGTCGTTTTGGCACAGTAAAATTCAGTCTCAGTGCATTCAGCCAGAGCGCAACGGACAGTCTGTTGATTCAGTCCGTTTCTGCACTATGCAGGGTTGGAAAGATTTGTGTCTGCTCGGAGTGCCTTTTTCGAGCACACTCAATACATACATACATACATGTATGCATACATACATGTATGCATACATACATACATACCTACCTACCTACATGCATACATACATACATACATACATACATGCATGCATACATGCAGACGTACATACATAGATATGCAAATGCATATGGACATATGTATGTACATGTTTCTGTAATTGGAATCCCCCAGTCACGCCCCAGCACCCTTTGCCCACGTTAGGCGGGTCGACCCGCAAAAACTCAAAACTGCCACTTCGCCCGCGCAACCCTTTGCGGACTTTCGGGCGGTCGACCTCGAACAACTCGTGTGTTTTGCGTCTTTCAGCTTGCGCAACCATCAAAGGTGAGGTCTTTGCGGACTTTCAGCGGGTCTGCCTCAAACAACTCGAATTCTTCTCCACTTCGCTCGCGGCACCCCGACCCCAAAGACTGAAATCCGCAGAAGGCTGCACTTTTGGACATGTCCATTTCTCATGCGTGCTTATCCTTCTCCTGTCTTTCGTCAGAGGGTTAGCTTCCAATTTGCGTCCGTCCTAAGTACGGAAGTTCCTTCTAAACTTCCATTGGTGAGCAAGCCAACCAAGACCAAACCAAACGCCAGACATCTCTAAAGCCACTCCACACAAATCAACACTTCAAGATTGCCCAAGCCTGCCCTAAGTTGAACCAACGGAAAAAAAGGAAGAGAAAACAAACAACCCCACCCAACCCTAAATCAATTCCAACCAGCCCCACCATATCGAATTACTGCCAAAGCCCTCCAGGATTAGACCCTGTTCAATATTAGGTTTGACCCTTCACACGTGCAAATGCAACTAGCTTTCCATGTGCACGAGAAGCGCTTGTCAGGTTGCCCCTACCAGATGGGTTATGACTGCCACGAGGGCCAGGGGAGCTCCTGGTCCTGGACAAAGTTTCTTGGCCGCGTCTGAGACATGGTCGGTTGCCATTTCTTCGCACGCAACATGAACCCCAGGAAGCGCACTGTGGGTTGATTGGACTCGACTTGTAGTCAAAGTCGGATGCGCTGCAAACCTCATTGCTGCCAGATGAACATTCTTCCTGGGGCGTTGGGTGCACTTGTTGGGGTTGCCTGCTTCATTTGACTCGCGGAGCACGCGCTCGTTGGAAGACTGCTTGACACCATCCTTGCCAATGCCCGTTGCGCCAGGCAGCACTGGTGCTGCGCCCACCAGGGTATTGCTTGCGACTCCGCCGGGGGCGAGGCCGGCGAGGCCGGCGAGGCCGGCGAGGCTGGCGAGGCCGGCGAGGTCAAGGCGAGTCTCACAGAGACCCTGTCGAAGCCCTTCAACTGCCACGCAGGTGGGGCGAACCGGTCGACAGAAGAGAAGGAGCAAGCTTTTCTGGGGCCGAAAGACTGAATGCGCCGTGAGGCAGGCGCCACCATAGAAGTTGAATCCTCGAAGTTTTGAGCATTCGTCTCAACCCATCTCAGGTTTTTCTGAACATGCTTTTTGTGAGATCACTGTATTCTGCATTTTGGCATTCAACGTGCACACATTCAGGGCTTCACCTCCGGAAACGCAGATGCGTTCTGCAGACATGACGGTGCAGGATTCCCTGCCTTGAACTTAGGGACACAGGCACCCCATTCACCAGAGCCCCCACATCCTAACTTCCACAACCTCACTCAGGCCCGCCGACGGGGTGGCCAGCGCCGAAGCTGTTTTGGTGCTGCAATCACGAGGGCCTGGGCTGTGGCAAATCCGAGCCCTATGACTGCGAGGCCTGACGTCCACAACCTTGGCATGTGCCTTCTCGTGGAGCTTGAAAGATTCACCTGCATGGAATTCACCAGGATGAAGAGGATACCAGGGAATGCCAGCTGGGATTGTGGCTTGAATGCTCCTTGCTGCTGGGTGTCATGAATGGTGTTTTTGGAGTAGTCAACAAGGTCAAGCTTGAAACAAGTTGGATACGCAGTATCTTGACAGCGTGATCCTGCACCACACCAGAAGCAACACCTTTATCAACAAGCAAGGCCGATTTTTGATTGACGCGCAGATGGTGCATCTAATAATGCACTACAGTATTCATCTATGGAGTTTTTGCCGCAAGCGCTTGGCCACTTGAGTTGGATCCAATCTGAGAAGCAGACTGGACAAGGGTCAGGATTCGTCCCATTTGCGAGGAAACAAAGAGCCTAGATAGGGTTTTGGATTTGGCCTCTTGGGGTACAGCGTCTGGCAGGACGGCTTTGCTGACTGGCAGAGGGGCTGGTCAGGGCCCAAGAAGCACTTCTGCTGTGCAGAGCACTCGCGGGGCTGCGAGCCCACAACCACGACCACCACCACCACCACCAGCACCAGCACCTCCACGACCACAACCACGACGTCAAGCGCCAAGCACCAAAATTCGTACGACTGCACTGCCGATGCGGAGCAGTTGCGGCGAGGTGGGGGGGGTGGGGGGGAGGGATTGGACATGATGGGATGTTGGCACAAACAGCCTGGGGCTTGAAAGGTGAATTGGGATGCTTTCCAAGCGTCGTTCTGCATTCAAGTTAACACCACGTGTGCTCTCTCTCTCTCTCTCTCTCTCTCTCTCTCTCTCTCTCTCTCTCTCTCTCTCTCTCTCTCTCTCTCTCTCTCTCTCTCTCTCTCTCTCTCTCGGTCTTTGTGCCTGGAAGGAATCATGCAGGCGATGGAAGCTTTCAAAGTTGGCACCCACATCCGCCAACATCAACAACGGTTCTTTTTGTTTGTTTATCCTTGTCAACTTCTGAGACTAACTTTGCACTAGAGAAGAAGCGTGATGGCGGTCAGTGGATGAAGTTGGTGGGCGTAAGCATAGAAAAAGAACAGTCACACTGAGCAATTTGTACACGGCCACATCCACAGCCATTTATTATTAGCTTTTAGCTGTTTTGTTGGACGACGACAAGTGTGGTGTGCGTTTCACACTGGAACCCCTTCCTCACTCCTTGCTCCGCCGTGAGGCTGGTCCGACGCCAAGAAGTCCTGGTGCTGTACCAAGCAGAAGGTGGGCTGCCAGGCACGGGCTGTGGGCACGGCGAGAGCGCGATGAGAGCGCGACATGCCAAGAGGTTGTTGCCAGACTTGCAAACCTGGCCTGTGGGTTTCCAGCATTCTTTGCACCGAGGGTATGGTGGGAATATATATATATATACATATATATATATATAGTGTCTTTCTTTGCGAATGCCTGTTCAATCGAACAGGCCATCGGCCCAGAACCGACGACGACGACGATGACAACACCGAGTCCCTTGAAGTGCGATGCTGTCTGCGAGACCCCGGATGGGGAGAAGCAGACCTGCGCTTCGCGGGTGCAGTATGCTGCAGCTCACAAGTTTGCGCACGCAGCGGATTCCTGCAACCAGGCCGGTGCTCCTGGGCTGTATCTTGCAAGCACAGGACACGGGTGTTTGTAGGTATGTCTTTCTGGAAGGTCGGGATCTGGAGCAGCGTGTGGCACAATGCTGAAAATGAAGCAGTTGCTTTTTTCTGGGCAACCTTGGCTCCGGGAAAGTCTCGCCTTTGGTGACAGGCCTACAGTCAGATGCGGGTGCAGTGCGGCATCTGTGCTGCCTGCCCCCTGGAGCAGTCAAGGTGTCAGGCCGGAGTGAGAGCTGCAACAGAGGGCCGAGTTGGTGAGCAATGCGTTTACTCCAAGAGTGACTTGAGTGTGCTGCAAGCAGCACAAATGGCGGCTTGAGATATTGCCCTGCAAACTCGGCGCGGGCTTGAAGGCTGCACAAGCTAGCAAGCCCTACGACTGCGCGTCCGGGGAGAGCAACTGGAAAGCTGGGTGGTCAAAGGAGAAGAAGGAGAGGGGCTTGCCTTTCTTAGCTGAATTCACGACACCGAACAACACCTCTGCAGCTTCATTACAATGCCTTTTGAAGCTGGACACTCAGAGTTGTGGGTGGTTCTTGCTCATGTCAATGAGGAGGCTTTGAAGGGCTTGTCAGCTTGACAGCTACACACCCTTCTCAGTGGATGCTCAATTCAGAATGAACACATGTGCCACAGGAGGTATCGAGGAACGGAGGAACGTCATGACGCCACAAAGACTTTGGTGGTGAGTTGAGGTTCCCCATTCCCTCGCTGCCTTTGACAGGACTGGTGCTGCGCCAAGGAATCCAAGGGCTGCGGCGAGTCCTTTGATTGCGACAAAGGCCTCGACGAGTTCTTCCGCTGGCCAGGTGACCAGAAGGCTCTTGGGGTGGGGCTGGGGGCTTAATGGTGTCGCTCGAAAAGGAACTAAAGCATTGTATTCCCCATGCAGTTGCTAGATTCGAATTCTGTAGCATGGAAATACGGCAGGTGATAGGACACTCAAAGTCTACTCCTTGCGTTTTATGGGGAACCTGCAGGGAAGGTCAGCCGACGATATTTTTTGTTCATTGCATAGTCTGTGGTACATGGCGACTTTGGCCACACATAGAAGGAGGAGGACTTGGTGGCTGCATGTGAGCACGCCGGAGAGCGGTGCCACTTCAGTCGAAAGCAGAAATTGCAAGGCCTCTCCAAGCATGCAAAGGACCTGCAACAACCTTACATGAAGTGGAAGGCATTTGTGAAGCTCCGAGCGAGCTGATAGTTACAAAGGCTGCTTTCAGGCGTATCTTCAGACCACTCCCGAGTCGCTAACAAAACACCTCTCCCTTGATGGACAGGCGCTGCCGGCGGCACTTGACGAAGCCTTGATGGATCAAATTGAGAAGCGGAGGATTCCGAATCCACAGTGGCAAAACCCTCGGGTGCTGGTTGTCCCAGGTGGCTGTTGGTAGACAAGTTTAACATCTGCCACCGTTCTGTCCTTTTAGGAAACCCCACATTGCCAGATCAGGCCCCACCCAGCTGAAGAAACTCAACTGAATGCAGAAGGTTCACCGTGCCCAGGCCGTGTCTGATTCAGGAGAACGAATAGATTGCAACACACACAAAGAAATATCGGGGTGTGAAGGTTTTTGCAGCAATCCTTTAGTCGTGGAAGGCATTTCCTTGCCGAAAGGCGCATGTGGGCTGTGCAAGAAGCGGCGGTCTTTTCCAGAGGAATGGTTGCCTTGTCCATCCACCTGAAGCCGCACCAACGTGCCGTCGCGGACTTGGTTTACTTGGATGGCAAGCTTCACGAGAAACTTTGTTTTGTGCAGCGTCGCAGGAGTGGTGCTGTGAGAAGCAGGGCAAGGGCTGCGAGGGCAGCCACCCCCCGAGCTTCCCTGCGGGCGAGGGCCATCAGTGGGAGCGTGTCCAGGCGCAGGTTTTGGGGGGCGAGGGTCACAGGGAGCAATCGGCGGAACGGAGGCAACTCCACCCTTGTTCCAACCGTGACGGAAGCGGACAGGCCTCTTCAAGAGGAATGTCTTGGGAAACCCTCCATGATTGTCAGCTGCCATTGTTGGAAAGAGGTTGCCATTTCCGCTGTTAAAGTGGCGTGGTGCTCTTTGTCGAGCGCATAAACGTATTGTTTCCTTGCCGAAGCGGCTGAAACTTCGTGCTTCATGTTGCAACACACTGCGCCCATTTTGTGGGGGACGCATCAAACAACGTTTTTTGTTTTGATTGTTTCGAAGGAAGCGTGCGCATGCTGCACATGGGGAGAGATGGATCAGGGGACGAGAACTTGTTGCAAAGTTTTTGCGCAGGTGGGACGACACTGGACCTGGGCCAGAAGCAAGGCGGAGGGGCTTCCACAAGGTGGGGTTCGAGCAACAAGTCTTCAAGCCAGGTGGTTTCAACAGGTGCGAAAAAATATATATATATATATATATATATATCTATTTATCATATGTAAGTATATATACACATATATACAAATAGATATGTATATACATCTATCATGTACATTGCTTTCGCCTGTCTTTTTACAGAAGTTGGCAGTCAGTGCTTCTAAGTGAGACTGATCAGCATATCTAGCTGGGGTGCGTTTGTTGACGAACACGCAAGGTAGTTTATTTTCTAGTTGAGATCTGTGATTCAGAAGTTTGTCGCTAACACAAATTTGATTGCACCCGGACCAAAGCGGGCTCTGCCATTTGGGGGTCAGCATAGTGGCCGATAGACATCTTTCACGGAGATCACAAAACTATAAACCCCATTGTGTGTTTCCTGATATTAGATGTTTAGGGCTGAATAGGCACATCTCTTCAGATTAGCCCTTGCAGAGATCCGCAACTTGCATTGGAGCTGCAATCCAAGCAATGCAAACCTCAAAGGTCCGATTCGACTTTCCCGGTTGACAAAGCTGCCAGGATTCGACTGCGCGGATGATAGCTTTGGTCGCTGGTCCGTTTCCGAGAGCCACTGGTGTTGCGCTCACCGGGGATTGGGCTGCACTGGCCCCAACCCTCCGTTGGTGCCGCTGGAGAAGGGACACAAGCACCCTGGCCAACGGCTCCCAACTTGCGATTTTTCAAGGCGACAAGCGACGTTCGCTTTCGCTGAATCACTCAGAGTCTCAGAGTTGGTTTCTGGAATGATCTCATCACAACCGACGTGTTTGGGAAGCTATTTGTAGTGCTTTGTCTAGCCAGTGTCTGCCAGTCTTCCTTTGATGGCATGACTCGGACTGGTTCCATGCAATTGCTGACAAGGCTGGTTCCTTTCGACAACTAACAGTGAATGATGATAAGTTAGATGAACACCACAATTAACATGATCCTGCAGTCAGGATTGACTGTTCTTGCTTGGCGAACGACTTAAAGCGTGTTCTTACTTTTTTTTGCGTTATGACCGGATGAGCAAACGGATATGCTTGATGGTTTGTTTCTTGCCAGCTGTGATAGGTCTTTGCCCAGAGGACGAGATGCCAGGCCTCTACAAGAGATTAAACAAGGCGAGCAATTTAATGATTGATGTCTAGTTGGAGATTCCTGAGTGGGAGTCTGCGTGTCCAAGGGAAACAAATGGGCCGGCTTGTGCGAGAGGTTAGCGGCCAGGGTTTAGGTGTTGCGTGAGAGGTGGACTGTTGTCAGAAAGGGTCATGCCAAAAAACGAAGCAACCGGAGGCGACATCCTTGTAGGGTCGAAATGACTTCAGGGTCTGTTCAGCGTGGTCTATTGCGAAGTGAGGTGGCAGCATGTGAAGATCGATGGCCGATGGACCTGGAAGCAGGTGAAGGGCCACT